GCCGAATTAAGAAATATCCCTGTTTTTTTTAAAGAGTTTCTCAGTGACCCATCTTGATTTTTGTAGGGATCATGTTATAGTAGGAAGATTTAAGGGTTTTACTCTCTTGTAATAAACTATATAGGAAGTAACTCGACTTTTCTTCCATAAAATCAAAAAAATGGTCCCTGCATTTGAAGAAAACAGTTTTCTTGGGACGAAAGCTTTATTGCTGCCATCTGAAGATAGCAAGGCATAATAAATTCTCCGAAATATCTGTCAATACGCTCTTCTCACTTATGGTAATATGCCCGTCTAACCTCGTTTACGGGTAAAAATTCTTTTGAAATTCAAATACGAAAACGTCGTCTGATAAGCATTTCAAAGGCCTTTTTACTCAAAAACGAGGTTAGACGGGCATATTACCATACGTGAGAAGAGCGTATTATGTCCAGGTTTGCACCCAGCAGCAAAAATTGCGACTGACTATTTTTCGCGCCAGTTGCGATTTTTCGCAGTTCTTTGTCATGTTAATAATCACTGAAGTCCAGAGCGAGTTGTCGATTTAACAAAATTTGCGAAAATTGCGAAAAATCGTAAGTCTGACGATTTTTTTGTGTTACTTGAGATTTTTCGCAGTTCTTTGTCATGTTCATAATCACCTAACCAGACCGAGTTGCGGATTTAACCAAATTTGCCAAAATTGCGAAAAAGCGCAAATTTGACGATTTTTCACGTTACTTGCGATTTCTCGCAGTTCTTTGTCATGTTAATCAGTTCACTTTTCTCGTGTTCATGATCTCTTAAAACAAAGCCGTTTGCCGACTTTTTTGTCCGAAAAGTTTCCGCTTTACTTGCCATTTTGGCATTTTCCTGTCAGGGCAATTAAAGCATTTCTACACGCAAAAGCCCACGCAGCCAATCTTTAAATAAAGGTTTGTTATGTAAAGGTTCGAGTGATATTCGTAAGATTCCATTGTCTTTCAAGTTTCGTCATTTTATGCCTTCTTTAAACTAGGAGTTTTGGAACAAGGGATCAACATCATTAATGTATTTTTCAACTGGTCAAAGTTATTTATTCACATTACATCTTGAATACAGCATCATTCACTTCAATGTAACAATTATTTTCACTGGTACATCTAAATTATGTGGTCGTTTCCCCCTAAAGTGGATTCGCCCGAGGTTGCTTCGCCCGCACTTGTTTAAGTCGATCCGACCGATGACAAACAACACTCTACAACACCGCTTATTAAAGATGCTTTTCGCTTTGATTATTTTGCCGGCATTACCTAAATAGGTCAAGCGTTCTGCACGATCTTAGAAATGTCGACGATTGCTACGTCGATCTTGAAAATATTTTGTATAAAGTCGTCACTGCAAAATGTTGTGGATCACTATATGTACTGTCACTTTCACTTTGACGCTTATTCCTTGACAAATCAACGTTGTGCAAATCCAAAAAAGTAATATACCTCGGGTCTTTAATGCTCATGCCCCAACAACAACACTATACATGTCATATACTTCGTTCTTTATCCACCAACCCCAGCTAAGCCTTCTTAATTCGAATCAGCCATTCTTGTTTTACAGTATTCGGCGACTTCAGGACTGCCACCGAAGACTAAGAACATTTTTACACCTAGTCCAGCGCCAATTTACTTCATTGGGGACTATGGACGGCCAACATAGCTAGATCGGTTGCGGGTGCCATTAAATCTGACTGAGACACCGAAAAATGGTCATATATGGTTAAACCTGATTGCTTTAACTTACTAGCACCTAAATTTCTTCTTTCGTGGTCTCTATCGGATTGCCCAAAAAGTACTTAATTTTAAAAGAACTTTTAAATATTAATTAATAATGACGATGTAATAAAAATGAGAACTGGTCAAGAATTACAGGATTCGAACAGATTTTTGGATTTAAACTTGAACACTTTTTGCTATTTTTTCTTAAGTTCAACTAAGGAAAAATCAATGTCGGGCGAATCCACATGTAATAGATGTTCTTTAATGCTCATGGACCCAAACAACAACACTATAAATGAAATATACTGCGTTCTTTAATCCACAAATCCCAACAAAGCTGTTGAATACGAAGCAACCATTGCAATTTTATTACAATTTTTGGCGACTAACGGACTGCTCACCGCGGTAGCAGTACACTTTCACGTACCTAGTCCATTTTAAAATTTGCAACGCTTGGAATGTGGTCAACTTTCACTTTGTGAAAAAAAAGTTAAATTCCCTGCCCAACGTAGCTACTTAATGTTAATTTGAAAATTGTAAAATCGACGCAGTTCAAAAGAGTTTGACGTTTCGGCAATGCTGCCTTCTTAGGGGTACAAGACCAAATGAGACTATTTTTGTACCCTGAACTAGACAGCATTGAAAATACGTCGGTTTAAAACTCCTTTGAACAGCGTCGATTTTACAATTCATTTGGCCGAGCGCGACCTCGGGTTTAGTTTAGTTTTGCAAAATTCAAGATGGCGGATCAATGTGCAGCTACCGAAGGTGAACTAAATTTCCATAAAAGATGCACTGAAGCGAGAGAAATCAAAATTTCAGCGGGGAATTTGAAACGCACATACCCTAAAGGACTTAGGCAAGACATTCCACGAACTGAATAAGCTGGCTGAGTCAGTTGTGAAAGGGAATTTTGGCGCGCTTCGCGAGCGCAGGATCGGCGAGTAACGAAGCATGGATCGCGCAAAGACCGCAATTATTCACCGTGTTAGTCCAAAAATAAGCATAGTGCATCCGTGGATGATTTGCTTTGACCTTCGCATGCCTCATGAGGTCTTTGATCTCTTGAACAAGGAGATTCTTGGTCTGACAAGATTTGGGATAGATACACCAGGTTCAGTGACTATAACATTTTCAAACCTGAGAAGATTATCGTATCTCTACGACTAGTTCCAAGATTGTGGTGGGTTTAGAAAGCAACTTGGTAAAGGAAAAAGAGAGGTAAAGCTTATTGTAAACTCCGAGAAGAAGGAAATAATGGTCTCTATGCTAAAGAGCAGATTTTGAGAGCAAAATTTTTTATGGATACTGGAATTCGTATGGGATTAGTCAGGATTTATAGTCAACAATGAATAGAGGATGCAAGGTTGAATCATACAGTAACAAGTATTTCCCTAATACCTCATTGACAAAAACCTGTCAACCTTTGTGCTTGGATGATAACAAAAAAGACAGAATGTCTACCATGGATCATTGCAATTATCCCTTATGTTTCACAATTTTTTTGAGAAATCCCGAAAATTGTCGAAATCCCAGTTTTTGCTGGGCACTCTTCTACCTCCTGTAACACTTGTCGTAATTAATTTTAGCAAAAACTGCAATTTCTCCAATTTTTCGAAAAATTCTTGGAGAAATTGCAGAAGTCGCAGTTTTTGTTGGACACCCTTCTACCTCCAGTTGACTTAATTAATTTTAGCAAAAACTGCGATTTCTCCCATTTTTTTGCAATTTTTGGAGAAATCGTAGAAATTGCAGAGGTCGCAGTATTTGCTGGACACCCTTCTACCTCCTGTAACACTTGACTTAATTAATTTTCGCAAAAACAGCGGTTTCTCCAATTTTTCACAATTTTTGGAGAAATTGCAGAAGTCGCAGTTTTTGCTGGACACCCTTCTACCTCCTGTACCACTTGACTTAATTAATCTTAGCAAAAACTGCGATTTCTCCAATTTTTCACAATTTTTGGAGGAATCGCAGAAATTGCAGAAGTCGCAGTTTTTGCTGGACACCCTTCTACCTCCTGTACCACTTGACTTAATTAATCTTAGCAAAAACTGCGATTTCTCCAATTTTTCACAATTTTTAGAGGAATCGCAGAAATCGCAGTTTTTGCTTGACACCCTTGTACCTCCTGTAACACTTGACTTAATTCATCATAAGCTAGAGGCCCGATTTTATTGCTCACACCAGGAGACCCCTTTTCCATGGTAACTAACGAGCTTTGCGGTCAGGCACTCAATGCAGGTGGGGGGGGCGGGTGTGAAAGTCGTTTCGGAGGGGATTGATTGTGATGGCACCTTTGATCTTTGGAATATTTCTGAGGGGTGTAAGAAAAATTGGCTATTTCTGTGGCGGGAGGCAGGGGTACTGTGTCAGTACCTTTGATCTTTTTTTCTTTTCTTTTAGAACTCATCAGACACTCTGATCTTGCTTTCCAAACGCAACGTAAAGGCACTTCGGTCTGTGGTGTTTGATAAAGTTTGAAGCCTCTTTGACATCACCCAAATACAAGATTTTCCTGGTTATGAAGTTTCTTTTGAAAGTGACATAACATGGATTATCAGGGAGTTGAGATTACATGGTGTGCAGAAAGAAATATTTGACCTAAGCCTCAAGCTTGATGGTAGGCCATTTGCAGGTGAGAACGCAATCTTTACTAAATACAGTGTAACTTATTTCCAGATTTCTTTATTGTATTTTGCAACAACTGTGTTGCACTTAAGAAAGAAAAACATAGAAACAAAATCAACAGTGAAATTGGGTTAAAAATTATGACACCAAGGGACATACAATAGTGTCCAAATTATTTCTTAACTGTGACTGAAACAAGTTCATCCTAACGAAACCCTGTGATCTTTTATCGTGGGTGTAGTGTTGGACTGAAATAGTCTTTTTCGTCAGTATTCTTAAACATTTACCGTTCCTTATCCATTATTTTCACTTAAAAGATATTCAGTCATAGACAGTGCAGAGATAAAATAATGTAAAGCAGGGTATATAATATATGGGAGTTTAAAACTTGTTGTCCATATTATTGTTGTCTGTATTACAGAGTACATTTTAGAGAAAAATACATGAGCTTTTTGTTGCGACAAATCCAGTAAATACAGGTGTCTGTATTAAGTTTGGGGGGGGGGGGGGGGGGGTAACATCAAAGTGGCAGGGTAAACATAACCAAACACTTTGAACTCTGGGTCATGAAGTGGCACTTAAATTTTTGAAATGCCGTTTTTTTGTTTCCTCTCATTTGTAGGGTGCAGTCAGGTCCTAATGGGTGTAGTCCCCAAAGACACACCATTCCTGTCTAAGCAGAGCTGCAAATCAGTGTGCCCTTTAGCTATTGCTAATTGTAAGGAAGACAGGTATGTTGTATTTAAATTTGATTCATTAGTCAAATAGTTATTTGCTTCCAAAATAACTAGTTTTGTTAGTGAAAATTTTTATTGTACCTTTTTGACTGTGTAATTTTTGGTTGTCGACCAGTTATAAGTGCAAGCTGAAATAATTTGTAGATTTACAACAAATTTATTATATGAGGCCTTTAGAAAGGCCCCAGTAAACGATCATTTTTGAAAATTTTACCGCAAAGGTTTTAATTTATTAGTGGGCCACTCAAACCCGACCTTATGTTTTCAAGTCTTAAGAACTATCTGCTGCAGACTAGACTAGCAGTATGCGTATTTCATTTTCCTTCTTTTTTTTCATTTTAGTAATAACTTCAGTTTACTGGTAACTTTACTTTTTATTATTATTAGGGAAAAAACCTAAAAAAGCTGATTGTTAATGTCAACAAACAAAAGGATGCACTAAAGAAGAATGGAATCACAGTGGATGGAGTGCATTATGCTGTGAGATTTAAAGGTAAGTTTCACATAATAATTAATAACGTATTTTTTAGTACCATAATTTTCAATCCAAATGCCTGCATGTACATTGATGTCTTTTTAAAAATATATATCTACAGCTGTACAGTTGTACTTGACCTGAAGGCCCTCTATCTTTTGCTGGAACAAACAGGGAAAGCGATCTTTCAGCTTGGGAAACGAGGAACTGAAGTAGAGTGTTGCTTTATCTGCAAAGCATTGAGGGTATGTGGATATATTCAAAATCTCTGAGTCAAAAAATTCTACTATGCAGGTTTTGACCTTACCAATGACCAACTTACCAATATAGTACTATTAGATTTTCAGTTTCGCTGGGTAAAATTTCTTAGTAAAAACTAGCGATGAATAGTGGCTATTTTTATTGTTGCTTTATTAGGAATGTAAAATGTTTTGCGATCTTGGTCCGCATACAGTTTGTTTGGAACACTTTCGCATGTCCAAGGCCAATATTGGAGGGTAATTTAGTTATAGTTTTGGTTTACTAAGAATTCTCTGATGATACTTGTTGAGGCATGCAGCCCTTGATTATTCATGAATTTCAGCATTTGTAGTTGTCGTTTTGAAGTCATAGTAACTTCTAATTATAAAAGGCATTCAAAACAAGGTTATCTCAATACGGTTAACCTCTATTCAAAAAATTAAATTCCCTGGTATAGTGAGTGAATCTCTTCATCCCAGCGTTTATAGCTTAATTTATAAAGTATGTTTTCTACAAAAGACTAACTTTTTATATAGACCTCATTTTAGCAATAATATTTTGTAAATTAAGCCTAGGCTTGCCTTTTGTAAAAGGGGAAGTTCCACTGCATGGAAAAGAAAACAAAAAGCTTTTTGTGGACAAACATGGTGTTTAATTCCCATGTCTATAAAATGTTGGCAATTATCCGTGTCTTGTTTTCCTAGAGAACACATATTATTTTCCCATAATAATATATCACAGTCTTCCTTTACTGTAGGTGTGTCAATGTTGTAGGGGCACTGTCATAAAAGACTGAAAACCTGTCGAGTAAAATACTTGAGTTCGAAATATATAAATCTGTTAAGAGCCACTTCAGGGGAGATATCCCCCACAACTAACAGAATAATGAATCTTCTTTTTTCTAGTTTCAAAGGCATCCGTGATGACTTAGAGTTCCTTCTTGAAGAGGATTTATTGTCTATTAATCTCTGCGCCCTTCAGTGCGAACTTAGAAATACTGAACAGCTGTTGTCATCATTGGGTTTGTTTTCGTACGAAGTGGGTTCACGTGATGAATGTAATGCCTAATTGGCAGATTATGGCCCTGAGAATTTTGGCAGCAAAATAATGGTGAAGATGAAGGAGGGCCAAGAAACTGCTGTTGAAAAGCACAACATCCAGGTGTGTTCATTTTAAGGTACCTTCTGTCTTGTTTCATTTTTATCATGATTGCTTTCATTCGCTTTATCCACTTCAGGGCTTTTACTTCCGTGCTGTAGCAGCGGCTCATTTGTACAATACCTTGATCCTTAATATGTAAACTGTAACACTGGTTTGTAATGAAGATGTCACTAAGTTGTGAATTTAAATCCTGTTTGTTTCTTTCTGTACTATTTTTCCTGAAGGTTCTACTGAATGTGAGTTCCTCACAAACATTGAAGCAATTGTCAGGAACTCCTTGCCTCATGACAAATTATTGAAGTCGTATTTTGCTGATCCAGAAAGTGTTAAAGACTTGCTCCTGAATAAAGTCACATTTTGTAATGATAGAATCAAGGTATATGGCTCAGGATATCACATGATTTGAATGTTTCACTTAAACCAGCGCAACACACAATAATTTTTTGTGTGTAGTATGTAGAAACCTGCACTGAAAAAATGGTTTCTGTTTAAGGTATTCAATGAATTTTTAATAATTTGTTTTAGTACTATCAGGACATGGCTATTTCAGACATTCACCAGAGACTTTGGTTCAGAGCAGGAGACTATTACCCTCACAGGTTCAGGTACATGTTACAATCATTATACCGTTATTTAAAACCTCTCCTTCCCTTTGACTGTGATAAACCAGACAGTTTGAATTAATAACTGCATTTACGTCCATCTACACTGGAAGTTGTGATAGGCTAGCTAGCACTGTTAGTATTAATACAACCCCATGACGTGACCATTGTGTATCAAGGGTACATCATTATTGCATCAGATTACTACATCCAACTGAGTGAATGTTCGTTAGCATGTACAGCACACCCAGTGGTTTGTGTTCTTGCATAACAGTCCTCCCTTAAAAAGAATACCCCCTTACACTTCGTGATGTGACTACCTAACCTGTTTTCCTTAGAAGCTGGAAAAGAAGTTCAAAGAAGACTGGAATTCTGGCAGGGTAAGCTACGTGAAATCGAGGAAAGATATGTGGAGCTGTCAGAGAAGTGTGTTGGTGGGTCGGTTGCTAAAGGGAAACGAGGAAAGAAAATTAAGGCAGAAGGTGGACAATGCTGATCTTTCTCAACTATCTGATTATGCAGCAGAAGTGTTCTACCAATTTTTTTTAAAGGTAATCAAATAATCAAGTCTTTTTTTATTTAATTGGAAGACACATTGGACAGTTTTATGAGAAGTAAGATATGGGGCAAAATCCAGACACGTTAAGTTAAAACTAGTCAAGCTGATTTTGCTTTTTTGAACAAAATTCTTAACTTTAACAAGTGGCAGTTACAAAACACAGGTCACAAGGGAAGGTCACTGCATGCTCTTATAAAAAAAACTGAGATAGGCAGTTTCCCCTTAACTTAAAACGCCTCATTTGAGATTGTAATTTGGGCTTTTCATATAATTATTCATTTTGATTGCAGGTTTACACTGACTGGAAAGACATTTCTGAAGTCATTAGAAGTAGTGTCTTCGAGGAAGATTAGCAAGATTTAATTGACATTTTTGACATACAGGTCCAGGTAATTCACTTTTAGTAAGAGTGTAAAGTACCATTTGAAAATGAAGTCCTCTTAGTGGAAAATATGCATAATGTCTAAAACTATTACATTTAGATAATAAATTTAGACAAGAAAGTTAATACATAGGTTTAAAGAAATTAAAAAGCAAAGAAAGTCTCATTAAGATGCTACACGGGTGATCAGTTTTCAGGTGAATAAAACAACTCTGGTCTTTTAAGAAGAACACGTTTTCTTATTACTCAGCACTGTTTGAATTTCTTGTTATGCAAATCTGAAACTTTTGTTTAGCTTTAGCATTATTTCACTTATTGTGGATAAATTATAGAGCTCAGTTGGTACCCTAACTGTCACTTGGTTCAATACCTTTGGATATTTGTATAAAGACACTTACGAATACTTACATTTCATTTTTGCCTTAGAGACTTGTATTGTTATGGACATTACGTTACAGTGACATTACCTATCTTTGAAATAGTTTCTATGACTACGGTATCTAAAAGATAGTAATGCTGCGGCACATTCTGTTGATGCTGACATTAGTTAGGCAGTGGGACTTAAAAAAATCGAAAATGACATTGAATGTCCTATTTACATGTTGGAAAGTACTAGAATAATTATTACTATCAGTCTATACAAAGAACTCGTGGGAACGTTGATTAGAAAATGATCAAGTGGTTATCAACTCTGGTTTTCCCGCAGTAAATTGTAGGAAATGATAGAAATTCAGATTGCTTATCCATATATTTAATATACGGTGTACTATCTTTTATCTGGAAACACGATACTTTTCTTGCTGTTTATTGCACTTTATTAAGTAACAGTTATTTAGCTGTATATTTATAGACAACAACACAAAAAACAGGAAAAAAAAGAGAACGGTAGGACCCGAACCCAGCCCAATCGGCTCGACGCGACTACACCTAACCACTACACCACAGAGACTGATCAGGTATTTTCTTTTTCAGGTATTTAATTTAATGCCTTTTCCATGAAACATCCGCCGGCAAGATGATCGCCAGCCACATTAACCGAGCTATTGACAGTGAAAAACAATGTAAACGCATATTCCACGGCAATGAATGAATGAAAGAACATAATTATGCTTTTCAAAACGCCGATACACGTCCTCGTCTGCAACGTAGGACACAAAACATATGTTTTATTATCTCGATTTCCGCTGTTATTTTGAAGCGAATGGTCAAAATCACATCCATTTTTGGCTCATACAGGTTCTTAAGAATAGCATGGCATGACATTTTCTTACTTTCACATCACCTTCTAGCAAGCTGGAATTTGTATATCCCCCGTGTTGCAGAGTCGAAGAGCAAATGCTCATCTTCTCGTCAGGTTTAACACCTGGATGAGTCAAAGGCTCTTGAATTAAAAACCAATCCCCAAGTTAACCATCGTACTCATCTGAAAGACTCCTGCGTGTCTTAAATTTGGTAAGACCTCTAACCGTGCTGTAGAAAATTTGCTACAAAGAAAACTCTGAGTTTGGGCAGCGAACGATGCGAACTTCCCCGTGTTTTTATTTGAGTTGTCCGTGGCGCAATGCACTCTGGTTAAATGCAATGCATTGTGGTAAAAAGTGTGGTTAAGTGCAATGCATTTTGGTAAAAAGTGATGAATTCGAGAATTCATCGCCCTTTATATATTTCCTTTAAATCCTGATTATGTTGCTGCTCGCTCCCTGCGGTCGCTCCGCAGCAATTAAAAAGCCTACTAGAAATAAAAAGCTTATCAGACAAATGATGTTACTAACAAATCCAAGGAGTAGGACAAGTTATTTTCAATTGATTAAAGAGTGAAATCCTGTCTGACACAAAGAAAGAAGTGAAATTTTGTTACGGACATTACTGATCTACTTAGATATTTTCTATTAACCAAAAATGGGGAAAAATTATTGAAAACCATCAAATTTTTTTCCCGTGTGAAAAAAAGACTTATGCTCTAATTATACCTCAGTTTCAGTGGACTGCATTGATTTTGATATTTTGACAAATTATTCCTTAACTTGCACCTGTGGGTCCCATGTTTTCCTTGTTTATATGACCTATTGAGTAGTAGACCCCCTGTGGAGTGCAGAAGGGCGAAAACAGAAATGACATGTATGTTTTTAATACACTGATGTGTCTTCTCTTTAATGGCACAGAAATTAATTCCAATATCCTTCTTTTAAAAATGATTGATTTTTCACCTCTCATGTGGAATTGCCCAAAGTACCATTTGGAAATGAAGTCCTCTTAATGGAAAATGCATACTGTCTAAAACTATTACAATAATAAATTTAGACAAGAAGGTTAAATACAGCTGTAGTGGATTTTCTTGTAAATCTTTTACCAGAGACTGCGCAACAATTAAAAGCCATTGCATGACGAGAAATTCAAAAATAATTTCCTGTCACTTTAACTGACATTCAAAAACAAAAAAGAAAGAAATGCTTAAGGAGTGTCTATCTGACAAAGGTACGGCAAACCTTTACATCCAATTTTTTAGATTTAAAAAAAAAACAGATCTAAATATTAGTACAAGATCTATATCAGAGATTTTGATGCTGTTCAAAAAATTTGCAGTTATGTATAATCAGAACCTGGAAATACACTCAGGCTGGTCTTTTAAACAATACTTCAAGTTTGATTATAGAATGAGGCACATACATTATTATTTTAAAAGTAAAATGATGTTTATCTCTCCTAAAATGTTTAAGATATTCACAAAGTACAGGTCACATTCCCCAGGTAATAGGTACATGTCACTGCTCCATAGATGAATTGCCAAACCACACAGATTCCCCTCTATCTAATAGAGCATTTTGTTAAGAGTTTAGGGCTTGCAAACACTTTTAATACTATTCATTTGTCTGTATCATGGTGAACTGTACTCTGACAGTGTGGAAAAGTTACCTGTATCTTAGACCCTCCTTAACAAAATTTCTACCCTGTAACAGCTCTGTAGCATCACTGGAACAGGGTTGTAAAACTAACCTGTGACAACCCTGTTACAGCTCGTCATTTGGCACAGTTAGCAAGGCTGTTTCTACACTGTAGCAGCCTTGGAACAGCTCTGTCACATTTAACTCAAAATTTCTTAGTAGACACCCTGTAACAGCCATGTTACAACCCTGTTTCCACCCTGTAATGGACATCCCTGCCACAGCTCGTGAATTGGCACAGTTAGCAAGACTGTTTTTACACTGTGGCATTCCTTTAACAGCCTTGGTTCAGGTTTCATGCATTACAACCCTGTTACAACTTGTTAATTGGCAGTTAACAAGGCTGTTTTCTTACCAGGTGCCAATGTTGTGATACTCCCTCTCACACAATATACACTTTAGACAGCAACCGTTTAACTTCTATACATTAGAATTATAGTACTATCAGAACATAATTTTTTATAACTTCACATCTATTAAAGATGAACTTAATCTTTTTTAGGCATATTTGAACTCATGAAAATTCCTGAAGCAAAGGAACGATTTGCGCCACAAAAAGCTTCAAAGTTGAACCACCAACGGCTGGTTTAGTCCGTTTAGTCACTTAAGTAACAAAAGCAATGCATTTCAACAAACATACATTGAAAGGACACTTTCGATAAAGGAAAACAGTAAATACAGTCAATTAAGAACTTAACGTTACTTTATTTTTCACGTGCCGACGTTACAGTGTGTAAAAATATAAACAGAACAAAATTGAAACTGCATGCAACAGTCTGATCTGGCTTGTAAACACTTGCTTGCTTTGCTCGATTTAATGTACAACTAGCACGTCAAAATGCCGACTTTACAATAACTGTCCCAAAAAAAAAAAAAAAACGATTTTTGTCCGCAATTATAAGAGATGAAACACGGAATTGTTCCATTGTAACAACGGTTCCGAGGTTGACAGTTTATAGTTGTTTTGTTCGTTGTAACAAGCTTAATTTGAAATCGCTCACCTCGATCGTCTTTCCTTCATGATCCACAATGTGTTACATTTCCTCATGAAAAGAGCCAATCCATTTGTGTTTCAGTTGTTGCTGAATTGTTTAATGGTGTACGAAATGAACTCGCATTATTACTAGGCAGGGCAAACAATCTTTGAATCTTGCAAGTGCCGCGGAATGTTTTCTGTCCACTATATCGATCTGTTTCCCATTCGTTGAGAGCTGGTCAAAGCACAGTTATTTTTTTGCTAATACTTTTTCACTCTCTGCTTCAAAAGCAGCAAAAAGCGCTCTACAGCCTTTCTAAATCTAAACTGGATGCAGAAAGCGTATGAATATTTTCGCTCTTCTTTCAAATGATCGTGAGTCGTTTCAGGAATGGAGATGTGTAATGCGATCTTCCGGTAAAAGTGCTGACCAATAAGATTAAAGTCTTGGATTTCTCCAGGGAATTACCAATGGCGTGTCTGTCACGGAATGAAAATATTGAAGTCCCCTCGATCTCTAAGGAAAGAATTTAATTCCATGCTTGCAGAGGTCTCTCACGCAGGAAAACAAATTGAAGTGATCTGAAAGTCTTTCATTTTTTGTACATTGTTGTAAAAAATTAAGTAAGTTACAGCGGTTTTTTTTATTTAAAAGAACAGGAAGAACAGGAGCTGATGTAATAGGTGTTTGTAAAAATGGTAAGCTGATCATAAGAAGGTCTTCGTTTTTAACATGAGATAAAAGTCTTAAAAAGAAACCAACCTCAAACTACAAAGGTAGCGACAAAATCGGTAATTAATTAAAGTAAGGGTCAATGAAAAAAAAAGAAAAGAAAAAACGAAGCAAATCCAAACAAAACCAAAAACAGCATACTAAAAGGTGTACAATAATCGTGTTTGATGATTTAGCGATACCATTTTCACCAAGTTCTTTTTCGTTTTATTTGTATTAATGATCTAGCTGACCCTCGCTCCTTTTAACACTTTTAGACTTTGAAAAATATTGCCATCTTTCATGATTTATGGAGTTTACCGTACTTGGCTACATTGTTACTGCCCTTTGATTATTATCCATTGTGTGAACAGAAATGGACATCTCACAGTTCTGCAGGAACCCGGTTACTGTCAAATGTACCTAACACAGCCATTCTGCATCCCTGTCCTAGTTCCTCTGCATTACTAGGTAGCCCTGTCTTAACCCTGTTACGGTAACTGGATATTTTCACAGCCATGTAGCAGGCTTGTTATACTTAACTATGTACACTTTTACAGCCCTGTCACTGCTCCACTTGTTTTAACTCAAGTAAGTTGCATCTGTGTCACAGCCCTGTTACAGCCAGTTTACAGCCCTGAAATAACGCAAACAGGGCTGGAAACAGGATTTTTACAGGGCTCTCACAGGGTTTTTGCGGGCCACTGTCAGTTTAACTGCACAGTCTGCAATGTTGATTTTGACAACTGTTTAACACCCATGGAAATATGCCTCTTTTTTCTTTTAGTGCAAAGAATTGGGATTCCTTTTAAGGGAAGTGTTTGGCTGCAACCTGGGCACTGGTGATTATGGCCGCGTCACCACTGAACATGCCAGCATGCTGTTTAGAAACCACCTCAGCTTGAGGGAGTATTCAAATCAAGGCTTTGAGGCAGCACACTCATTACAGAGTCAGTTATATTCAAAGGCTACTTCCCATGACAGGCATGGTCATGCTACATCAAGTTAGTTTTATATTTTACTTTGTATTACTTTATTTTTTTATATTATCATACATCTAAACACTACAGTACTTAAAACTAATATTGTCACCTACTTAAATATTGTTAGAACTTAACTAACAACTCTTTTTACAGAAAGGTTAGGAAGCTCATCATGTCATTTTCACATTATTTTGTGATTGCCACAGATGATGCATAGAGTTCATAAAGATATGAAAAGCTCTTGAATTTTAGCTACCCTCTTGAAAGCTCTTGAATCTAAGTTGAGTCAATGGAAAATCCTTGAACTTTAAATCTTATTTTGAATATCCTTTAAGCTTGAGAGCTTTCATTGTTAGCAAAATAATTTCCTGTTGGAGAACATCCATAGCTATTAAAAATACCTTTAGCATCAGTTGTTCATGGGATACTGCAAACTCTAAACTGCAGTCTGCAGTCACCCATTTGCAGTTTCACTTTGACTGGATTTTAAACTTTAGGCAGACATTTATGTTTATCACCAGTTCTAACTAGCACATCAGAGGGTGGTGTAGAAAGCTGCTTCGTGCTTTTAAATGTAAGGCTGAACAATAATGTTATTGTTATAGTGGCAAAAACATTGCTGTAAGTCACCTACTGCTGTAAGCCCTTCCTGCCATTCAAACTTGAACTGCAAACTGCAAACGCAACCAGAAGACCACTTGGCGTTCTCATATTTGAGACCTGTTTGCAGTGTCCCACGCATGAAAAACCTGATGCTAAAGGTCTTTATTGAAATTTTAAATGCCAATTTACAGTTAGTATTGAAGTCATTGTTCAAGGCATACCATATTAGTAAAATATCAGTTTTGGGGAGCTACACTGTACATGTTCTTGAATATTATGTATCTTATTGTGTGAAAACTAGAATCCATTGGGGAAAAAGGCAAAGTCTGGTTTAATTACTTGTTCTTGTTGGCATTAAAGTTGTTGGCTTTTTTGAATAATCAACTTTATTTCACTATATTAAGTCCAACAGATTTTTGCAACATTTCTTTTCTGAAAAGTTGCTGTTCCTGTGGCTTTGCTTCAAAATGGCTTTAGAGAGCATGGAAAATGGTGATTATCTTCTAAAATGTTTGCCAGCTAGAAACATTATATAATGGAAATTCTTTTTATGTCAGTCCCTTAGATGTGTAGTCAAATGTATTCTCCCTTGTTGAGACAACGTTATGTAAAAAACTGAGAGTTGTGTATTCCCATAAAAAGCATACACTATATTCAGTGACAACATTACTGTGCACTTTATCTTTTTCTACCTGGAATGGGGTGAGATAACGTTAATATGTTGTCATTCTTCGTCTTGTGCAGTAGAAAACTAACCACATAAAAACTTGCAGTATAAGCTTAGAGCTTATTGAACACAGTCTGTTAAAATCTTTTTTTGTTTTTGTTATTTTAACTGTCTGGTTCCCTTATTTTGCCAATGCCAATGTTTTTTTTTTGTATGTCAGGTAAACCATTCCATTTTTGAGGCTGCGGTTGGTCCAGAAAAAAGAAGTGTAAAGGTCAAAAGTTCACATGTCCTGGATTTTCACCATGAATAACTTGTTCAACAAAATGTTTGTCAAGGATGCTCTTTCTTATGAATTTGACAAAGGTTTAAAACAAGTGGTAATATCACCTGACTGTTTACCTATCTATCAATATGATCATGCACTGTGGGAGCAGCTCTTTCCTACAGTTTTGACCAGTTTTACTTCCTTGCTGGAACAGCCACAAAGTCCACAATCCATTCCAGCTAGCAGCCCAGCTTTCAGCAACACTGACCCAGTCAGCAGCTCTCCCACAAGCCTCTCATCAAGCCCCGCCGCTAACCCTTCAAATTCCAGTTGCAGCCCTTCGTGCAGTGTCTCAGTGGATACTAAAACTGCCTTTGTTCCTCAACCATCAGAATCTTTGTTTATTCCTGACCTACGAATTTGTGCTGCAAATGATTGTTCCAGAGGCCAACTTGCTACCCTTAATCTTCCGCCTGTAATTAATTATAATTCCAGATGATGACATCGAGCTGGTTGTTGATCCTGGGTGTATTAACAATCCTCTGCAGTCTCCAGTCAGGCCCTCAGAATCAGCAATCACTAAGGGTTATAGACTGATGGATGCGGCAGCTGGAGAAGACAGTGATGATGAGGATTTCGACACTGCAGTCAAGTTTGGAGATCTCGGGCTCTTTGACAGCACAGCTCTAGACATTTGGATGAAAGCATCAAAACCTTCCTCCATTATTTTTAGAGTCCAAGAAGAGGAAAATTGGATGAAAACTACAAGCACCACATTAACCCCTCAGCAGATTAATGAAATTAGGGCTTTGCTTTTTGACAGTGAACCTCAAGACGAAATCCTTAGAATTGGTGATGTGATGGTTGATGCTGAAGACCTTTCAACCTTAGCTGCTGAGAGGTACATTAGTGGCTTTTTGATTGATGCTGCATGTTTGAGGTAGAGTGAGGAAACCATGCGAAAAAATTCTCATTCCTTGTATCTACTGTCATTTACACAAACCTGGGCTTTAACCAGAAATGTGCAATTTCTACAAACAAAGTTGAAGCCCTACCTTTCAAGAATGGATCTTGGTGATGTTGTATGGACCCTTACTCCAATCCACGTAAATGGCAACCACTGGGGTCTCCTGTGCCTAAATATAACACAGCACCAAGCATTCTATGATGATGGCTTAAAACAGAGTCCTCCTACCAACATCATTGAATTGGCTGACAATCTCCTGAAGGCTGTATCAGAAAGCCAATGGAATATCACCTTTCCAATTCGGCGGTTTGGAATGCCCAAACAGCCATTATTTGGAGAAGGTTGAGCTAGTTGTGGCATTTGTGTGACCTTGGCAGTCTGATTTCATAGACAACCCTGCAGACAATAGAATTCCTCACTTGTACTTTCATTGGAGTTTTCATGATATCATCGCCAGAGACTTCTTATCGTTTTACACAACGGAAATAAGTAATCGATATAAATATCACCATTGTAGATTGTCTGCCTATTTTAAGTGAATTTTCCTTGAGATACTGTTCTTGAACTGTGAATGAAACTGGTTTTGACAATATTATTGTTCTGAATTAATTTTTTCAAATCTTTCAATAAGATACTTGTTATTAGAATGGAAATGCTGTTGACAATATTATTGTAAGGGTTTCCTCTCCCTCTTAAGGTTTACAGGCGGCACGCCCAAACTGCGGAGTTTTCACTAAATTAAATGTTTCAAAGCTTTCAATAAGATGCTTATGATAGGAAGAATGAGATTGAATTCTAAATTTTTTTCAATTTTACCAAGGTCAACACCTTCACATAAGTTATTGTCTCAATAGTAATGTTGTTTGCTCTTGTTTAAGTTTTCAGGCAAAAGACATGGCATTGATGTCCAGCTAAAATTCCAATGAAGAACCGAATAAAAAAAAAATCCTGCAGGTCAAACCAGGGAGTTTGACACTGCACTGACTGCAGGTGACAAAAAACAAACGGCTCCTTTAGGAGCCACCATATGTATTAAAAGATAATGACCAATCACAGAGTAGACCAGTAAGTGGTCATTAAACTGTATCATTTTAATCTTTATGCCCTACTTTCAGCAAAGATTGAACAGATTTCAAAGCTGTTTTGTTGAGCACAAACTGATTTTTTGCTGGTAAAAGCAGCTACTGATTTGTTAACTAACATTAACATTAACTTGCTACAATAAAATTCATATAGGCTTTTCAATTTCCTTTAACAGGTAAAAACATCATTTAGTAGATTTAAATAGCATGTCTGTTTAGTTAGTGTCCATATTAGGTAAACTTTGCTTTTGTGGTTTTACTGAAGTTGCGTGAAGAAGTTGCATTGTTTTGGTAGAAAAAATTGATGTTCTATATTTTCAACAATGACTACACCTTCCCACAGATACTATTGTCTTCCAAGGTTAGTGTTTTATGCTCTTTCCAGCTTACACTTTAGTGAATAATATGATATCCATGTCAAGCTTACATTTCAAATTAAAGAGGCAGAGAAAAATAAAAAAGCAAAATTAAGCTCTCTACAGGTCAAACAAGGAAGTTTGTCAATTAACACTGCTCTTTGCAGGTAAAAAGTGGAAGAGAAACAACTTCCCAGATATTTCAGGGAAGTGAAGTCCACTTTAAAGCCATTGCCTGAATGTTTGATCAATATTGAATAGACTGCAAATTAAAAATACTGTTCATAAAAAGAAGTTTCAAACAGTTACTTTTTTAATATAGAATCTTGTTGAAAGTTTTCCATTTCTTGTGGTGGAGTATAGATCTGGCCACCAGATTACTTCTACCTCCCTAGTGGTCCGTCCTTGTCCTGGACCCACCTCCAAACTTGCTTTGGCTGTTAGACGTTTGGATAATAGATCCCCTGACGACTCCTCATTTCTGACAGTGCTCCAAAAACTACGGTTCTTGGTAGCCTGGAGTTCCTCCTGAGGGCTAAGGTCAGATCTTTTCTCCACTTCCTGTAGGTCACTGTACCAGGCCGTATCATTTTAGTTTAAGGAGGGTTTGTTCATGCAATGCATCAGTAAGTGAAGTGAGGCTATACACTTTATAGGAAACTCGCCTTGTTGATGGGCAGTAAAATGGAGGCTTCTTATGAGGTACCTGCCTCATGCTATGCACCCTGCATCTCATTTGACAAGCTAAGTGCCCAAAGTACCTTTCAGGAACTTGTGGGAATTGTAAAGTCACTCAACCACCTAGAAATGAAAGTAGACAAAACCAGCTACAATTAAATTGGGTCTTCAGCACATTTTTTTGACAGGAGAAGTGTAAGTTTAAGCTTTCTGAGATCATCTGACATTCTAAGTAAAATAAAGATTTTATTCATTCACGGACAGTCGTTCTGTTTCGTCACGCAACGCTCTCCTCCCGTAGCCGGGATCATTGTGTGACGAGCGAAACTCGAGTAGCGTGCGCTCGTGCCAGTGAGAGAATCGGCTAAATGACGCGCAAAGTACTTTGCTACTAAACTGAGAAACTAAATGCTAAAGAAAATAGCAAAGTTTGAGGGTGAAGACTGTACGCACAACTAAAAAGATGATTGGGTAGTACCTTAGGTGGCTTTAAACGAGGAATATTCAAGTGCGTAGATCTAAACTAAAAGCGATGCAAAATGCTTAGGTGGTATTAGGCTTTGTGCCCTTTAAATTCGCCACTTACCACGTAAACGAGGATTAAGGGAAGCGTTTATCTGCTCCGTAAGCCCTGCCAGCCACGATAACTATCCTATTTTAAAATCTTGCGATCTCCTGTTAAGAAATCCAATGTCGGGCACTGAAGCCTCGTTCTCCTCGTTGTCCAAAACAACACATTTACGACTCCATCACCTTCCACCGTGTGTTTTCGTTCCGCGTGCTTTTGTGTGGCGCTAAAAGTTTTAAACTTTCCAGTACATAAACAACATTTCTGTGAAAACGTAAAGCACAGATCCATGTCGTTGTCAGCTATAACTGATTCGTTAATTTTCCTGTAGCAAACTAGAAATTTGTCGAGGAACATTCCTTGTCAATCACATAGGTTATGAGAATAAAGGACGTGATCACACAGCGCTTGATATAGAAGAACTTCTCCTAACCATTTAAGAGGGAAATGTGTGAGGACAGGAAATAGGAATTTACTTTTGATATGTGGGTTAAGTACGGGTGTTCTTGAAACAATGGATTCTGTTCTGTTTAGAGACCAATTCTTACCTACCATGTGCTATCTTCCAAAACGGAAGTCTTTTCCCGTGAATGGAAACATGGACTCAAAAGAGCGAGAGGAGTTGTGCAAAAAAGGAGAGCGAGTATTCCGAGTAAGGGATGGAAAGTATCGTTCAAGAGCGCATTGAAAAAGAGAGAAAAGAAAGCAAAATAAGGCATGGCAGAGGAAAAAATGGGAGGAAGGATTGTAGAATAAGAACTTTCGTGTACCAGAAAGAGAGGAGTTGCCACAAGACGAGAAGAATTATGAGAAGACTCGTGGACCAGAACTACAGAAGATGCCAGAAGAGGGAGAGGAGAATGAAAAGGTTCGAGAACCAGAAAGTGAGAAGGTGGCAGAACCACTGGCCGCAAACAAGAAACGGATCGAGGACAACAAACTATCTCCAGAGGCAAATACTTTTTCCAGAGGCAAGGTCAGGGTCAATTTATCATATTCGAAGTTAAAACGGAAAGGTCATACCGAAGAGAAATACGTGCCGGCCGAAAAAATTTCACGGAAACAAATCGAAGTTAGCTCCAGAAAAAATAGCATCGGTAAGAACTCAGAAGCTCTTGCGTTTAATGAGATCAATAGGTCTTTGCTGAAAGTGGATAAAAGCCAAAAAATTGGAAACGGAACCTTCGGGAACTGCTACATCGCCCTATACCGCAATGAATACCGCTTTGTTGCTAAAGAAATGAAAATAATTGAATCCCCAAAGAAGACAAGGGAGGAAGTGTGGCGAGAAGCATCGGCAATCACTAGAATTGGAGACCAGTGGGGAATCCCTCTTCTGTTTGGTGTTTCCACAGATCGGGCACCATTTTATCTGGTTCTACAGTTCCACACTTTACGTAGTGAAAGCGTAACACCTTTTAAGGCCGCTTCGGAAAAAGTTATTCAAGATGTTGCCATGTGCGCAAATATCTTAAAGTAAACATGCGAAATACTAATGTTCATCCACGAGAGAGGTTTCTTGCACAACGAGCTGAAGAGCAATAATGTTGTCATTGACGGATCGGAAAACAAGCCCGTAATTATCGATTTTGGAAAAAACTGCAAGATTGTTAAAGCCAGGTTACGTAAACCCAAGGTGAACATTGACAAATCGATGAACAAATTTCCGCACATCGCACCGGAAAAACATCGCGGTGAAAGGCAGTCCATCGCTAGCGACGTGTTTTCGTTTGGCTATCTGGTCACTCGTTTATTTAAAGACGCTAAGGTAGAAACTCCACCAGTCCTGAAGGAAGTGGCTAAGAAATGCCAGAGGTCAATCCCAGGAAAAAGTCCTAAACTGGTCGACTTTTTCACCATCCTGACTAAACTATCATAAATGATTTTACTGTGCGTTCGATTGATCGTGTTCAGGAATAAGTTGTCCGATGTCTTTCAACCTTTTGTAATACGTCAATTGGAATAAGACTTACTGAAAAAATACTGAAAATCACTAACTATTGGCTTCCATTTACAATCCAGAATGTGTTGAGAATTTATACTTGAGGCCAGTGTTTCATTTAAGTGGTGCATAATTTTCGGTCGAAGAGTTTTTTTCAAATTTCTGCGTGTCATCATTCCGGAATTCGATCAATCGAACGCTTTCTTATTGAGGTGGTCAAACGGGCATCTTTTTTTCTTGCACAAGCCTCATCATGATCACACCAAAAATCTACTTTCTTCAATACAAGGAGAAACCACCTTTCAAATCATTGCGGAAGCTTAATGAACGTCGAAAGTGGGTTACTCGATTAAAATTAAGCCTTGAAAGAAATTTCTTTCGCCGTCTAGTTCGGCCATGTTTTAGTAGGTTAGCCTTATAACTTCTCCTGTGCAAGGAGGGAAACTTCTCGTGCATCCTTCTTTTGTACTTTTTAGGAACTGTGTAACTTATGTAAATGTGTGACGTATTTTTTAACGCCTTTGCTATATGTGCATAACCAGCGAAGTTGTTGACTTAACTAGTTTATAGATGTATTTGTGATGATGTTCACGCAATTCTGCAAGGAAACTGAGCGCTTTGTGAAATTTTGTCACATTTCTCCGGTTTTCGACAGTCAGACGAAACCATTGCATAATACTTATTGTCGATTATGCCTTATGCTGCCAACGCGACAAAAGTCGACCAAGGATTAAAATTTAGTAAAGGAGAACATGCAGGCTTTCTTTTTTGTTAATACTTAGAAAGTTCAAGCGGCATTTAACAAGAGAAGATTTTCTTAGCTTTAATTTAGGGGCCAATCTGGATGATTATATATTGCCTGGTTTGAATCTGATACCTATGGCGATGGAACCGTTGCTAGGCACGCTTTTCCTTTCCAAAGCTACGAAATGATTTAGGTGGTATTTTCGTATTTCCTCTGGTTTACAGTAAGGATGATAATGCTGTTTACATTGTACAGAAAGTATTAAGGACAGCAGGGGCAGGGTTGCCTTTATTAATCTCCTTTTTTTACTTTATGGAAGTAATCACAAAATTCAAAAATTTGCTTTGTACAAGGAGGCTGTCACAAGAAAAATGGCAAGATATTAGAATTGATTAATTGTAGTTTGGTAACATAAATCCAAAGTGCCCGGCGGCTGCCGGTTACAGTTTGAACAAATTGCGCGTGATGTGCAATGTCGTAAACCCTCAAGTAAAGACGACATAATGCGGTCGTCCTGATTCTGCTGTTATTCAAACTGCAATAAGCTCGACCAATTTGTAACTTTTTAAATTCGTTTCGAAAACAAACTGTTCATACCGCTCCAAAGCATCTCCTTTGTTGTTTTAATCTGTTACGTGTAGACCTTATCCTTTGTTAAACCTTTTCGATATGGACAGGAAACAGGGCAGCTGACTTTCAAGTTAAAACAGGTGGGGATGTTGGAAGTTTTTGGACTTATGAGGTACAATTATCTATTCATTAAACATGGACTGGTGTTAGTCGATTTAGGCACGTAGGGTCAGTTCGCAGAGGTCTCACATGTATCCCATTTTCTTGGTAATTTTAATTGTAAATTAACATTGCAGTCACTAATATTTTCTCTGGTTTTGTTTTAGCCAGTAGAAGGAATCGCACGAGCGACAAATACGTTTGCATCGCCATCAAAATACTTGTTAAAATTCATCTCGAATGATATTTTTTCTGTTAGTCTTAATCGGTTTTATCGGTGTGGAGTGTAAAAGACGTTTATACTTGTTTTCAAACTATAATAGGCAAAATCCGTTTACTACTAACAGGATTCATGAGCACTTTCTAGTCTCCTGCTCCAATATTCTAATAGGCTGATTTAGCAACAGAACGGGAACTTCAATTGACGACTGCGCGCGCAATTCAAACAACTGGCTTGACCAATCGAAGAGCTGCAAATTGCGCACCGGAAGTCGAATTTAGTCCTTTCCCCACGCTTTCCCGTCGTCAAATGACGTTCCCGTTCTGTTGCTAAAGCAGCCTAATATTTCAACAGCAACGAAGAAGGGTATTTTACATGTGGCCGAGTAGAAGGAACTAAAAGCAACTAAAAGTTCAACTGTGCTATTTCGCTCCATTTGAGTCTTCGCAAAATTATATTTCTGCTCTTGTTATTCGTAATTGGTAAATAATAGAAGAAAAGACTTTGTAAGGTGTACTACCCACATCTGTTCATGTTGCCCTGCTGATGTAACTAGCTAGCCGCGAAGTGAAGGTTACCCGTACGGAAAGTTATATACGTGGCTGTCTGCGCATACTAGTGAACATTGTAGTCTTGATAATAGACAGCAGACAATACAAAAAACACAAACTTACAAGTATTGTAGCTCAGATAGATTGGAAAATATCGCAGGTGGAAGCTGTTTAATTTTGTTGCCAGACAGAACTCTGCAAGAATAAGGTTAATTATTTTAACTGCGTATCTCATGACAACAACAATCAGTCAACCAGTTTAGTGGCAGCTAGTGTAGTCATCATCATCATCATCACTTTTATTTCTACACGGTAAGAACAATCAGGCTAAATATACAATATACAATATCCCAAAAATGTTTAGTCAGTTGTGTTTTGTAAGGGTCAGTGGAGGAAGGGAGGGATTCAGCGAACATAGGTAAGTTGACACTTACACGAATTGCTTGGTTCCATTATATCCCCTCCATAATTATAGTTTTAAAAGTTTGCCGTTCTGTAAAACGTATTTGCGACCTTATTTCTTCGTTGTGCGACAAAAACTGCGAGAAAACCTCAGTCTTTGTTCCATGTCGTTCCTACGCTTAAAGGTCAGTAAGGTATAAATTCTTTTCTCATTTGGAAAAGATATACCTTTACATGTTATATAGCAAAAAAATATAGTTCAAGATCTGAAACGATAGCATTTGCTCATGGATGCATTATAGAAACCGCGCTGAAAAGACCTGAAGCACGTACATTAGAGCATTTCCTCTTTCATTTCGAAAAGTTCACTTCTTCCTGGAAGTCGGAAGCTCCTAGTGTAGATGAAAGAAGACACCATAGTTCAAGGATAACAATATGAGTTCAGAAAACAATAGTATCGGTGCCCATGTTTATTAGGTTTATGTACTAAGGGAGTGGAGAGTAGGAGTGAAGGGAGGTGTCTGCCCAAATCATCTCCATCTCTGTATTCTATTTTACTTACACCCTGTCTCTATGTTACCGTTAGTCATATTAAGTATAACTGTTCAAATCCATCATGCTTCGCGGCCCGCTAGTCCCGTTTCATTCTCCTTTTGGTTCGGTTCTGTGGTAATTTTCCGGTAGGTGCAGCTCAGTGAGGAAATACGCTTCTGCTTTTCTATGCTTATGGTTGGTTTTGTTTCTTTAAGTCCTGTTATTCAAATGTCTTCATCCATCCACTGTTTACAGCCTTGTAATTGTTATAATATGTTCAAAAATAGGCAAGTGGGTGCCCTTCAGCCTTAGATTTTAAGGTTAACAGTGTATTGTGTGATTTGATTTGAAAGAGTGCTCCGACTCCATTGTCTTTCTTTAAGGAGTTATTTTTTATTTTAAATTTAAGGGTAATGGGAAAGGGATATTTAATGCATTTATTTATATTATTGATTGATTTAAATGTAGGTGCTTCCTTATTTAGAAATCCATGGAAGATGATGTGAAAAATTATACAGTGCATGATGCAGGAAGTGTTGCTTAGAGAAAGAATGCTACTTTGACCTAGTCAAGAGTAGTAGATTGCAACATGAAGAAAGTCAGTTAAAGAAATGGAGGGTGATGGAGATGGATAGGATGATATGGAGCGACAAGAGACTATACACAATAGGAAAAATTTCTGAAGGATTAATTTTTTTTTCATCGACTGTATAAGTACATTTTTTAAAAAACAGCCGTTGCAACTGCTTTGTACTCTTTTCTGTTTAATAAACATGTTATTTTTTATTACATTTTCTTAAAAAAAAACTTTTCCTTTTCATTGAAAGTACATGTATACAAATTATTAACAAGTTTTCTGTTTTATTTTTATTTGTCTGGATGGTTTTCATGCTACTCAATAGCTTCAGCCAAATTATGGTTGGCCCAGCAGTCTAGCTGCCCAGCCATAAGTTGTAGCTGAGCAGCCACCCGCTTGGCTTCGATGACTGCATCTTTAATTTTTTTGGGCCTTCTCTTTGAAGTGTTTCAGTAAACAAGAGAAAAAAAACTTAATTTGTTTCCACTTTTCAACAAACAATTACATTTATATGGCGATTCACAAAACTAGTTCCGTATAACGACCTCTACAGTTGATCCTCACAGCACTCAAAATAACATAAACTACTTAGCAATGCATGAAAAATAACCTCAAGTAGTAATGAGGCTATTGGGTTACAACAGTCCTTCGGATGCAGAAGTAGTTCCATTCACTTTTTGAATTCATTAGATTATCTTCCCTGATTTTACTAATCAGAACAGACTTTGTGATTTGTCTTAACATCGTGTCATATCCTGTTCTTCTCTTTGTATCTTACAT